AAAAAAGAAGAAGTAATTTCATGTTTAACCATTTAATTAACTGGTTAAACAGAATTAAAATACATTGAAACAATTGATTATTATTATTATGACTAACCAAAACGAATCAGGTAGAGTGGGAAAAGTGCAAGCACTAGTAATAAACAACCCCCACACACCTGAAACTCGGTGAAAAAAACCCAAAAGCATTTAAGGTCAATCATAGGCTAGGCCTACAAAGTCAGAAGACTATGCCAACAAATTACATGTTTCCAATTACATGCCATTTTTTAATGCCAATTGAATGGGGTATTAAATTATATGCGAAGTTTTAGCATGAACTATTTTCGTTGCACTACGAAAGTTATACCAAAAAAAAGGCCACAAAAGTGAATAAAACCTACCTTAATAAATATATTGACGTTCGACACTTATTAAAAAATAATGGAAAATTCAGGTCGTGCGCACCATATGCACGGGAAACTGGCCAAAACTCCGTGCGTGATGCATGCAATTAGTGCATAATGTATGGCGGGCGGCAGACCTCGTTTTTACGATACAAAATTTCGGGAAAACACGCTGCATCGTATCACTCCAAATACGACGCGTAGTGCGATCTCAAAATATACTCTGAAAAACGGTAAATACAAATGTACATACACTGACTAGAGAGATCATTTTTTTCTGAATTAACTTGTAAAAGTGTTCTTTCTCCATCGGTGTGTTCGGTGTTTTTTTTTTGCCCCCCCCCCCGAAAAAAAAACAATTGTGTTCTGGATCCACCCTTGTGAGAGCTGGCTCATCCCGGCCCCGTAAAGTAATTCAACTTAATGCAGTAAATTAGTTTTTTTTTTTTTTAAGTTCCAAATAATTTCTATTTTCCACAGTTTGAACTTTGACCAAAAAGAAAAAAAAAATAGCCCACGATAAAAAGTGAATGTGTACGGGTTTGCGTGAAGTTAATCATGTTCATGTTGGCTATATAGACTGTCACAACGTGTGGGGGAATACACACATTGTCAAATGGTCAAAACCAATTTTAAATGCATGAGACGAGTACCAGACTAAGCAAGGGGCCAATAAAACCACCTGTCCAAAAATTGCGGCTGTGACTAGAAATAACACGTGCGCCCTGTTTAAATGGCTAACGGATGTAGACAATTCCCACGATATTTAAACCGAACCATGATGCGGACAGGCATCTCAAATTAAAACCAACATTTTTACATTTCGAACTTAACACGTGTGGCGGAAAATGGCACATTATTTTTTTGTCAAAACTGCCATTATTAACGCGGCATATATAATATGTAGTTTGTGTGGACCATTGTCATTGTTGTGTGTTTAAGTGTTTTAAAAAAAATTATGGGTAGGCCTACTCAAGTCAGGTCAGGAAAGGGCCAAATTATCAAATATTATACACTAGGTCTTGGCCTTTACTTACTTCAACTATGTCTAACGCTAACTTCCCATTAAAACTGAGTAACTTGACAATGAGTAACTACCTTTTGACATGGCTGGATTCCCAGATCATCAGATGACTTAGGCGATATTGATCCATAAACACAGTTCTTCGCAAGATCACGTGCGGGTACATTCCATGGCTTGTCCTGGCATGGTCCCAACGAATATACACGCGCGCACACAGCTCCATATTTTTGCTAGCTGGCCAGCTGGAACCTTATTAAACCATCCATTCAGTACAGGCGGGAGCAAAATATTGCATGCACATGTCTCCGATGAATAGACCGCTTGCAGACACGTTCGATAATCGACGCGAAGGCGCGCGACGCCATGTTGTGGGACAAGCGCATATCTATCCATGCACATTTTGTCCCACAACATGGCGTCGCACACCTTCGCGCGTCAATTATCGAACGCGTCTGCAAGCGGTCTATTACCGTCTCCGATAATAGTGTGCGCGCATATAGGCGCGACATCCGGCCCACTCGTTACACTTTTTGGTGCCGGTGTCCTATGAAAATCGGACTCGTATGAACAATCGGACTGTTTTCCCCTTTTAAACCCTCTCACGTGACCGGTCCCTCTCCTAATTATCTATGCATGAGCACGCGCAATATCAACAACGAGACCGTATTTCATAAAACCTAAATTAATGCTACAACACTGTGATTATCCCACTCCAAGAAATACGGACTCATTGGTAGTATTGCGCATGCGTTAGTACAATTGTGCTATTTTTAGGAGAGTGACCTGTGACGTACGTACGTGAGGGTGCTTTCTGAGGGATTGACCAATAATAGGGAAAGGTGGTCCGATTTTCATATGAGTATGGAAAATATATTAATGTTATGTGCAAAAATATTAAAAGAGGGCATTAGATCCCATCGCCTAAGCATTATTGAAATTCTGCTTTTTGACCTAAAATGAGAACCGATAAGTCACATTTCACGAAACTTGACGCTGGATGTCGCAACCACTTCCCTTACAACATACGGCAAGAAACATGACCTTGTTTGGAAAATATATATGTTATGTGCAAAAATGTTAAAAGAGGGCATTAGATCCCATCGCCTAAGCATAATATTGACATTCTGCTTTTTTTTTTACCTAAAATGAGAACCGATAAGTCAAATTTCACGAAACTTGACGCTAGATGTCGCAACCACTTCCCAAACAACATACGTCAAGAAAAATGAATTGTTTAGAAAATATAAATGTTATGTGCAAAAATGTTAAAAGTGGGCATGAGATCCCATCACCTTCATGTAAGCACAATATTGAAATTCTGCTTTTTTGACCTAAAATGAGAACCGACGAGTCAAATTTCACAAAACTTGATGCTAGATGTCGCAACCACTTCCCTAACAACATACGTCAAGAAAAAGGACCTTGTATGCAAAATATAAATGTTACAAGCTGATTTACCCGATCATAGATCGGGGTCGTAGTCGTGGTCGTAGGTCGTAGTGTTGGGGATGAAAATGTGGACAGTTAAATGTTAATGGGGGATCATTGAGGAGACATGCAGTTATAGAAAAGCAATTTTTGTGGTGTGATCTGAGGCAATTTCTGACTACTAAAACCAATTTGAGCAAAAGATCATCTTTTAAACATAATTTTTGAGTTTGGGGTAATTGAATCAGCTACACGGTATTCTGAGCAATAGAATCATTATAGTAGGCTACAATTTTTATTCGGGGAATAATAAGTCGGGGGGGGGGGGGGAACAAACAATGTCCCCGCTTTAAAATGTGGGGGGGGGGGGGGGTTCCCCCACCGTTTTACGCACATGATAATTATGTACCATGACAACTGTCTGTAAGTGTTCCCGTTGGTTTGTTAAATGGGCATTTTGTGAGGCAGTCGCATTGCCGGGAAAACGTGGTGAAAAGGTTACCGTAGTAGTACACAGGCGAAGGCTGATTGTACAGTTTTGACAATAAATCATGATGCAATCAAACGTGAAGTTGTCATTTGCAATGAAAATGTTGAGTGTTACCATAAAATTACAAACGGTCTGAATGATGGAGGAAGGTCATAATTAAGTTTCAGAATTGGACTCTTCAACAAACGTAAACTTGATCTTCTTACAAATTGCGAGACCGTCTACGAGGAAAAAGTCGATTCAAGGTTGCAATTTTTTTTTTAAAGAAAAACAGATGATGAAGAGGACGGGTTCATCATTTTATAGGGGGATTTCACAGTGAGGTGTTCCAGGTAGGCCTGTATTAAATTTGTGGTCATCATCTATCTTGGAAGTGAGGTTAGTTCATGCAGATCTTATGCATTTAATTTCATGGAACCAATGAGTAGCTTTGGCAACTAAAGCAGATTCCAACGCGAATTATCGTGGCCTGAATCATAATAAAAGCAAAGCAAAATCAAAGAGGTCGGTGAAATTACCAGAAGAAAATTGGATGAAGAACAAAATAAAGTTCTTAAATCCTTGGACGATTTGTTCAATCAGGAAATAGTTCAGGAAATCAAGATTCTTCTCTTTGGCGGGGCTGGGATCGGTAAATCGAAAGTTGTAAACTCCTGCATCACAATTGATTCAAAACCCCTTCTTGGTAGATTTGATCTTGTGCTTTGCATAAAGCTGAGGCAAATGCAGCAATCTAGCTGTGTCTTGGATGACATATTTGACCAAATTCTAGCACGAAACACCAAAATAAAAAAGCCATGGTGAAAGGGTTCATTGATGATCATGAATCACGCATTGCTTTGCTGTTGGACGGATTAGATGAAATTCCGTCTCACGTTTTGCAATCTAAGGAGGGCGTGTACAGGGTTGAGGATATCTTACACAACAAAGTCCTTAAAAAAAGTTTTGTGTTGGTAACTACTCGACCACACATGGTGAATTATGTATTGGGAGGTCACTCAACCTACGCTCAAGTTCATACTTTGGGTTTCACACCACAAGACAGAGATAAGTACATCAGATTAAACATTCCTGATGATGACATGGGAGAGGCATTGATTTCACATCTAAAAGTCAATGCGAATCTCCAGGAAATGGCTGTAGTTCCAATCATTTCCCAGATGTTGCCTGAGAGAATTACAGAGCTATTCGGAAAGTTTTCAGAGAATCTTTTTATTCGCCGCAATGAAGAAATGCGTGATCAGCAGCAGATGATGTCAACAACGATGTCTACTAAGAGATCTACCATGATGTCCACCATGATGTCCATCATTGATGACTTGGGGCGTGTTGCATTGCAAGGGTTACAAGACTGTAGAGGTGAAAGACTCTTGTTTCATGAAACTGAATTTCAGAAATGTGAGTCTTCCTTAGTTAAGGGTAGTAATGTGGGTTTCGTTCAACGTGAAACATTCACAAGTGGTGTAGATGTAAAAGTGTTGGTCACTTTCCCCTACACTCTTAAAAATACGTGGTTATTTTTTCCGTGGTCAAATTTATTTGACCACTTCCGTGGTTGATTTGCAAAAAAATTGACATCCACTTGGTCAATGTAGTAACCCCGAATAACCGTGGTCAAAAAGCATACACTCACGCATGCGCACCGTGCGCGCGCGCGGCGTGGAAATGCTCGATGTGCCGATGTTTCGTGGATCAGAATCAGCTTTTTCAAACAATGTAAGTCAGTTTTTACATTTATTTCGAAGTAATACAATACTTTTCATTGAGTAAAAACGCCTGAGCCGTTAAGGTCTTTAATGTAACGCCGAAAAAAAGGGAAATATATTCGCTTCTGTGCTGCTGCGGGTAGGCTAGGCCTATGTTCATGATGGTCAACCATGTCAACAGCGATTTAACATACATGACAAAGGCCTACATGACATAGGCCTAGCTCGTCATTGATTTAACGTACGTTACCGTCATGCATAAACTTACGTTATCAGCGGGCAAATTATTCCATTTTGTGTGCCTCGTTTACCGAAATTTGTTGTAAATTCAAGTGTAAGAACTGTCATCGTAGCCTACTTGGCCACAGACCTGACGTACAAGCCTACTTTGGCCACAGACCTGACGTACAAGCCTACTTGGCCACAAACCTGACGTACCTGCAGCTCGTACGCGGGCCAGCTCGTACGCGGGCCAGCTCGTACGCGGGCCAGCTCGTACGCGGGCCAGCTCGTACGCGGGCCAGCTCGTACGCGGGCCAGCTCGTACGCGGGCCAGCTCGTACGCGGGCCAGCTCGTACGCGAGCCGGGCACAAGTAATGGACATGCAGGCTAGGCTTATGTGTTATTTTAGTCAGTGAAATGGTCTTCCAATGTCCCAAGAATAACATTTTTGACAAAAACAAACTGTGTTTGTTTTTATTTTCAGCCCTGGCTGACTGGTGACCATTCCTGCAATGATCTGGATGATTGACTGATAGATGCATCAAACATCATGAAGACAACCTGTATAGGGCCAGCTGTCATGCTGGTTATTGCATGCTGTTCAGCTTGTGTTAATGCTACTAAATTTAAGGTAATTATTCTTCATGTGTACAACAATGAGGTTTTCGAATTAGTCTTACGACTGTGGATACATTCTGAACATCAATGAAGTAATTTTTTATCACAAACATGAAAATTAAATGTACACACATTTATTAAATGTACACACATGTTTACAATGCACATGTAATTTTTAGATTAAAAAAGTGAATTACTGAGTGAAAGTATTTTGTCTATCAGTTATGCAACTCAAATTTCAAACTGATGCAACAAAAACATTAAATTTACTTCCAGAAGTATTTATTAAGTTCCCCCTTTTTTCTTTTTTTACTTTAGGTGTCCAAACAGTGAGTGAATGTCAGCGACAACCTTCAACACGAGGATGCAAACCAAAGATAGACGGGTCCTACAGTGTTCAGTCAGTTCAAACCAAAATCTCTACTGCAAATAGACCTCACAATTTTTTTTTCATTCTTTTTTAATTTAGCAGAAAATACTTAAAGAAATTCTAATTATTGACTGAAAACCATTTTTGTTTAATCCTGACATTATCTTTGATTATGTGGATTAGGTGACACAAGTGTTAGCTTTTGCATACTTTAGATTTTTTAAATGTACTGAAAATGTACCACAATCATTAAATAATTGCAGCTACATGTACAACCTGACAGTTCATTTTCAATGATTACAATACATACATGTATGTACCTGAATGCTGTATTCTGTGCAAGTTGGTTAAAATAATCAGCTATATAATAGACTGGTGAAACAAACTGTTCACACCATCAATTTATTAATGAAAAACATCTGTGTGCTGTTAAATTGTACTTGTAACATTTGGTGCTCATATGTCTCTAAAAAAATGAAAGAATTGTTTGTACTAAGAGAGTCAACTGCATTCATTTAAAAAAAGTTAACAAATGTATAAGGATATTCGGAATTTATTAAAGAAAAATGTGTATTGAAGATAAAGCACTCTAAAAGCATTCTTTCTTATGTCTAAGTTTCCCTTCGTTGAATTTTAGGTGTTTCATTTTAAGTGCACCATTTCAGGATTACTTGTAAAAAAATTTAGTCCATGAATTTTTTTTTTTTTTTTTTTTGAACACGAAATCGGGTTGCGAAATTTTAACCACGGGAATTGGTCAAAATGGCTGACCACGGCAATGGGGTTAAATTGACCACGGAATTGGGTTAAAAATATGACCACAATGGGGTCAAATATCGACCAAAATACGTGGTTATTTATACTGACCACGTCAGGTGGGGTCGTTTTGACCACGGATGTCGTCGGTGCATATTTGACGACGGGAACGTGGTTAAAAATGACCACGACGTGGTTACTTTTTAACCACGTATTTGTAAGAGTGTACAAGTCTCTCCAAGAATACTATGCAGCATGTCACCTGGTGAAATTGCTACAAGATGACGAAAACAATTTCCGTCATCAGATGGAGCAGATTGGAGAACATAATGTTCATGCGATGGAATATCTGCTGAGATTTTGTTGCGGTAGATCTAAACAGGCTGCTGGTCTCATTCTGGATCACATAAAAAATATGCAACCAGAGATGCTAGATTACGATAACAAACAGCAAATATTGGCTCGGTTGTTGTTGTTCGAGTCTGCTTCAGAAGAGTTGGCTACCAAACTAGTTAGACCAACTTGAGTACACTGCGAGAGCCCTTGGTTCCTCCTGCAGGTTGGTGGCAACATCTGTCCCCAAAGTCAGCCTTGGCCCCATTCAAAATAAATTGCTCTTTAAAATGCAAGGCAACATTTCTTTTCCTGAAAGTAAAAATGAAACATAAGGAAACAAATACACAATTAAGCTCTTTAACAGCATTTTTGCAGTCAAAGATGCAAAGGAGAAGTTCAAAAATCTGAGAACTACTTATGGCAGAGAAGTGAAGAAAGTGGAAGACAGTAAAAAATCTGGGACAGGAGTTGATGATGTGTATCAGTCAAGGTGGAGCCATTTCAAGGAAATGTCGTTTCTAAAAGAATCGATGAAAGCTGGCCCAAGCAAAGACTCGCTTGAACCACAGGTACATTCATTGTAAACAAATGTGTTCCTATTTTAAATCTGTCAATTAATTTTAATCTCAAAACGTGAGAGTGAGTAATCATGTTTTTTTTATTCACTTGGAGCAGACTGATTTATTCTTGACTTGTGCAAATTTTTTTGACAAAACACCACACTGCAGCTCGCTCTTCACCAGTGTTGTAATACTCGTACTTGAGTACTTTTTTCTGCACTTGTACTCAAACTCGTACTCATGGAAATGTACTCGTATTCGAGTCTCGAACTCGCAAGAAAAAATTCCCTGTACTCGTTCCCATACTCATGGCAAAGATCTCGTGCTCGTAGAAAATTTTTGCCCAATACTCGTTTTTGTATTCATGGCAAAGTACTGTAGCTTACTGATACTCGTGCTCATGACAAAGCATGCATTCGACTACAACACTGCTCTAATATAATTTCATCCAGTATGTGTACATTCTCTTTCAGACTCGTCAAGCCACAGCCCGGTCTGAGGACTTGACAGAGACTAGCTCCATAGCTCAATCACCTCCAAGAAAAAGGAAGTCCGGCCCATCTGTAAGTGCAAGGCAAACAATAATGGAAGAAGAATTGAGAGTCCTCACCACCCCTGATCCCAAGCCAGCAGATGGGGAAGAATATTTCGCCCAACCTATCGCTGCCTCATTGAGAAAACCATCTCCAATCGCCAGGGAACATGCTAAATGTGGCATACAGCAGGTGTTGTTAAAGTACTGTGCAAAGGAAGATTAGGTTTGGTATTATTACATCTCATGCACATTTATTTTAAATAAATAAGTGATGAACTAATTGTTCATCAAGTTTGTATAGTTTGTAAACGTGCAAAGGACATGCCCCATCCAATTTTGAAACAACTATATGTACACTTGAAAGGTCAAAGATTTAGGTAAAAAATAACTGAAATAGCAGAACATAATAGGGATCTTCAGCATTACATTTTTATGAGTTTATGCTTTCATGTTTTGAGCACAGTTCCATGATTTATTAAGCTGTTCTATTTCTCCGTAATTTCAATTTTTACATATAAGTAACAGTATCTATACCTACTCGTCAAGTTTCAAGACAATCAGACCTACCCTTAAATTTGTTTTGAAAAATGGCATTTGTGACATTTGTATGTAACCTGAAAAATCAACACCATGGGGAACTAGCGGACTGAAATAATTCTAACCCAAAATTCAGTTTATACAAGGAAATGGTGAGGAGCAAACGCAGGTTAATTTAAGAACAAAGACAGGGAAAACAAATTCTATTTCTCAGAAACTAGCCAAAGAAAAATTTATTTGAAGTTAGCAATTACTTTCAGTGAGAATTGCAAAACAAAAAAGTAAAGACTTATGGAAAACAAATCAACCTTGCAAAATACTCAGTTTAAGACTATTGTTAAATTTAAAACGACTTTCGAAATTCAAGACCGTAACTCCGTAAGGATATGAATCTGTAAATTAAAGAAATCATAGCAGAGCGATTGTGACCACCAATGAGAATAACCAAGGGACCTTAAACCAGAATCTTTGAAATCAAAACACTTCCTATCGCTAGAAACAGTCCGAGGCAGAAAATAACCAACAATTGGTACAAATTTTACGGAAGTTCAAGCCAACTCGTACAGTGTCCAAGAAAAAGTAACAAAAATACCACAATCCAGCATTAACAACCTATAAAAAGAACAAAGCAAGAAAGGTTAAGAACAAATGAATTTACATGAAGTAAATTTCTAAACGGTAAAATACATGTTTGGCCATAACACTTTTGTCAAGTTATTTATGATTGTCTAAAAGTATTCTTAAGAACGTAGTTTAAATAAAAAAGAAATAAAGAAACTCCTATAAAATAGAAGGAAACTCAAGTGCTAAAAGTGAACACAATCAAAGTTTCAGGCAATGTACAACATTAGACAGACCCTCTTAGAATTATCTTTACGTAGTCAAACAAGTCAATTAAAATTGATAGAGTGCTCAGTGATCGAAATACTTGACAGTTTACTCCAGTTCACTAGGCGAAAAAAACTAGAGATCACAAGGCGAAACGAACTAGAGATTAACTAAATTAGAGTACTATGCTTTCTAAAAACTCAGATCTTCATAATTAGGCAATCTGACAAAGAATAATACAAGTTTAGTGAAGAGTCAAAAACTGGCTCCTGGGGGGGGGGGGGGGGGGTTACCATGTGTCGATGCGGGCGCTGTTCAAAACCGACAATTATGCACACAATGGGCCAATATATGGCGCTTTTCAGGGCGATACATGTGCGAAATTCTGAAAAAGGCACTCAAAACGGCAGATGCCACAAAAACGGGCACCATGTCTTTTTGGAAAAGGGCACTTGTTCAGAAAAATTATTGGGGGGTATAGCTTGTTGAAAAAATGGCATTTATTTTTATTTGTGGGGGGGGGGGGCGAGTGGCATGGGTACTGGTAGAATTTATATACAGTGTCAAGGGGGTTGCAATACCAAAATCGAAGAGGCACAACTTCACTCATAAAAATATATTATCCAACTAACTCGCCGAAATTCTTGCTTGCTGCCTGCTCCATAACTATGGAATTGATTAAGGTAATGTGGATTGGACTTTAGGTCCCTACCTGATTCTGTGAATTTTATCCATAAATATTATTCTGGGGTTTTCTCTCCTTCCTCTGAAACTGAACATTTCTTCATCATTAGTTACAATAGTATATAATTTATGATATATAAGGAAGTGTACAACATTCTCCTGTAATTTTCATAAATGGATGATTTGGGGGCTAGTATATAGAAAAAAAGATTGTTACAATGTTTTGTTTCAAGTTTTGTGTTCAAGATATCTGGAAAAAAACAAGCAAAACAGCACTGTTCCTATACTATGGGAACATTGTTGTTTTGCTTGGTTTAAAAATAGTCTGGTCTCCTGACTCAACCTAAGATGAAATGGAGCAATTTTAAAAAATCTCGGAATTGTAAGGTTAGGGAACCAGTCTCGCAGGTTTGCACCCTTTCATCGACATGCAACCCACAATGTATTTCTATTAACCAGCAACCTTTGTTTGCACATGTGTTGAAGGAAATACCTGAGGAGAACCGTTTAGCTAGATAAATTTGTGTAATAAGTGAAAGATTCAACACACTGACATGTGGAATGTGTCATACTCAATGAAAACTACCCTTTAGTATGAAGTATGAAGTCGCAGTGAAGTTGCAGCTGTAACACAATTTCCAACTGCTACCATGATAGGACTGTCTGGCTCCCGACAATTAAAATAATTAAATGTCAACAGCATTCAGTGCGATATAGGTAGAACTCTTTGAGTATTAAGTTTTGTAGAAATTATTGTACATGATCATGATGATCTACAAAGTATAAATGTCTAACGTTAGGGTGTAGCTTGGAATGTATTGT